GAGAGCACTCAAACAACTGAGCTATATCCCCGTCCTTCTGTGGTTTTCAAAAGAAGCGTAATTGTGATCTGTTGCTGTTCACTGACTGGGACACGGACAGCTCTGCTCTTCAGGCCAGTCTATCCTACGGATATGTACCACTTTGAGCATCTGGCCTCAGAGCTTGGTGTGGTTTTGGTACGAATGCATGGAATCTCCTCCTCAGGACACAGGCGTGTGAGTCGTTGGTAGCTGCACTGGACAACCTCAGGGTGGGTGTGAAAGGAGTCTGCAAGAAAAGCGCTGGCAGGGAGGGTGCCCACAAGTGCTATCCTTAACCCTGGCCTCAGCAATGAATGGATCCACAGAACTTACTTTTCTCAGCCACACAAAAGCAAAACATTCTGTCTCTCTCCGCTGACTGTAGGCATGATGTTTGCTCTGGCTGAGCTGAAGATTGTTCAGGTGGAAATAAGTTACAGACACTGATGTCCTCTACAGTAGGCTGAACAATGACCCTACAAAAACACCTACACCTAGTTCCTGGAACCAGTGCATACGTGTTAACTCTCAAGTCAAAAGAGGATTTGCACGTGTGCTCCAGGGAAGGATCCTGGGATGGGGAGATGGTCTTAGGTTGTCTGGATAGGTCCAGAAATATTCACAAGGGTTGGAAGGAGGCAGAAGAAGGCTGAGGGAAGGTGTTGTGAATTGCCCCCCCCCAAGTATAACAAACAGTTCATCCACCAGAGCAGCTGAGAATGCTTTCAAGAGAGGGTCAGGACTGAGTCTGTTGAACGTTGATGTACCCTAAAAAAGGGGGTGGGGGTAGAGAGGGTCACTGGACCTTCATCTGAGGTTCTGGCCACATTCCCTCCTATACCTCCCAGGTTGCTCTATATAATTCTGTTCCAATTTCATGGGACTTCATGGCCCTGGGAGGTGCTACAGTAAATACACTGTGGAAGGTTAAATGAAGGGTTGATTTCCATCAATATGGAATGAGACTTCACAGTGATGTAGCTGCTTTGGGGTCCCCCACACTCCTGTAAGTAACTCCTCACCCACACACTGAAGGAAAGCCCAGTAAGAACATTGGCTCCCTAAGTCGGTAGACCATTATTGGTGCACTGAAACAAGGGGGGTGTTTGTTTCTAGCTCTCTGGGGAAAGCGTTCCTGCAACACAAGGCTGTGGGAAAAGTGAAGACGCTGCATTACTGTTAACACTGAAGACAGAGGAAAGCCATTGATCCCCCAAGCCAATGCATGCAAGGAATGTAGCTTTAGAAGCTGGAAAGGGTAGGGACAAGGAACCAGATTCTCCCTAGAGCCTCTAGGGACAATGCAGTCCTGCTGATGGCTTTATTTTACCCCCAATGAATCTGCTTTCAGTCTTCAAATCAACAGAACCCTAAGAGGATAAATACATGTTGCTCTAAGTTGTCAGGAAATCTGTTACAGCAGTTGAAGGAAACTACTACACTACAGAAGGGAAGCTGGCTGGCCCCTGATCTCTCTCATCCCTGCAGACTTCAGAAACTCCAGAGGAAGATGTGTGGACAGTCCAGACTGCCAGGAACACAGACACTTAGGTGCAATCCAAATTCTTTGGTACTCTCTTGAAGCAAGGAGAACAGAAGCCTAGAAGAAGAAGCATGGTGTTTCTCCAGCAAGGAAAGGAACATCAGTCTCTGGCTCCTCATCAACTAGAACATATGCAATAGGGATCCCGAGGAGCTGCCCTTGGGATGCAACCATCCAGGTAAGCAGGGTCATGTTCAGGAGCAAGAAAACACATTGGGGTCCTGATGGTGGCAAAGCCCACACAGAAGATTTGCCTGGAGCTTGGATTCCTGAGCCTCTAGAAAGAGCAAAGTGTCTAGTTGACTGACTCCAGGTGACTCTCCAGGTATACTCTCTGGTGCTGCTGAGAGCCCTCACTGTGACAGTCCTCCACCCTAGCCTAGTGCCCACCCCAGTCTGATCCCCATCCCAGTCTGGTCCCCATCCTACCCCATCCTAACCCTCTCCCTCCCCCACCCCATCATAGCTGCCAATTCCTGAGCACCCACCATGTGCACCATGTCCCTCCCATGGGCTCTTCTGAGTAAACCCCGTTACTTACTTCCCTTCTTTGTTCATTGAGACTTGTTGCCTCACATATGTCACCCTTTTCTCCTTCCTCGACTATCTCTGGGCTGCCTGAAAGGCTTTGTATGAAGCGCGACACTTTAATAAATAAACAAGACCCCAAACATGATGGCTAATGCCTTCAATTTCAGTTCTCAGGAAGGTGGGCAGATGACTGTTGTAAATGCAAGGCCAGCCTGGGCTATACAACAAGAGCCTATCGACAAAAGGCAGGCTGCTGAGGAGATGACCCAGGGAGTAAAGTGTCAGTGTTTGACTGCAATCCTAGTGCCCACAAGAGGAAAAGGAGGCAAAATTCAAAGGCCATCTAGCCTGGAGTGTGAGGCAGTGAACGACAGAGACCCTGCCTCAAACAAAATGGAAACAAAGCAGTTGTCCTCTGATCTCTACATGAACACTCTGACACATATTCCTGCTTCCCCCACCCCCTGTCTCTCTCTCACACAATTAGCAAGAAAGACAATCAAAATGAACAACTTTCTGCAGCTGGGTGTCGGTGGTGCATGCCTCTAATCTTAGCACTCACAAGAGGAATTCAAGTCCACATACACTGAGCCGCATGCCATTGTGTACTGCTGTGCTCTGGGCATGTCATGGCCATTATTATCTTAAAATCAGAGAAGCTGTGGTAAGTCACAAGAGACCTTCACCCTATTGGAACTCCCTAGTAATCCTTCCCGAGGGGGAGGGAGGGCTCACTCCCTCTTGGGGAGAAGGTCATGAGACATCCCATGGAATTCCACCCCTCCACTAAGGAGGATACATGTGGCTAACTATTGGAGGAGTGCAGAGACTGCTCCTCAGTGATGTAGCTGCCCATAAGTAGCTCATGCTCTTGTATTTAACTCCTAACCCATGCTTCTGTAAGTAACCCCAGTTAAACTCACTGGTTCAAGTTGGGCTTGGTTGCAGTCATGTTTTGGGGATTCTATCAGGTGAACACACATTTGTTCATGGTTCCTCAGGAAAGCCAAACCCAGCTGCAGTAGCATGTGTATGTGTGACCCTTCTGTGAGTTCCCGCATTAAACTTCATTATTAAGCAGAGAATAACTAGTCAGATTTCTCCACTGCTAGCTGACTCTGGACAAGCTCAGTGCCCAGTTGAAGGGCCCTTTGCGGCTCTTTGGGAGCTATCATGTTTCCTGCCAAGGGTTTTGTCTCAGGCTCCAGGTGTGTGCTGTGGAGACAGGGAGAAGTGTCCAAAAAGAACCTGGAAAGAATCCTGACATAGATGGAGGTATGGGCAGCTCTGCTGTAATCTTAAGGACTAGATTCTGTGTCTGAGTCAAGTTCCTTTCCCTGGAGCCAGAGAAGGGGCAGCCTCTGGTAGCTCAAAACAAACCAGCAGTGGTAGGACATAGGGTTAAATGCTGTAGCCATAACACCCTCAGGGAAACTAGGACTAAGCATGAAGGTCATCAGATAGTGACAAAGCCAATGAAAACTTTCAAATGAATGAGGCTATGTTGCTAATCTTTCCAGGGGCAGTGAAGGAGGAGGGGCATGCGATGGCACACAAACCTCCTTAGCCTGCTTCAGTGGTTAGGTACAGAGGGGTAAAAAAAAAAAAAAAAATGACCTCGAATCCCCCGACTCCCTCCCCTGCTCAGATGTCCCTCATGTGCCCTGCAGGTATGCTTTCTTTGAGGCTGCACAACCCTCCTTAGCTTTGGCCAGAAGCTGTGTGACCCTGAGCAATGGCTTAACCTTTTGCAGATGGCTTTCTCTCACGGGTAGAAATATCTGTTGTTAATGATGACAATGGCTTCCATTTATCCAGCAAGTTTCCACTGCCAGGTTTAATGCTGAGAATTCAACGCATGTTTTCATTTATGCCTTTCAACACCTCTATGACATAGATTCTATTATTATTTTTTTTTAATCTTAGCAGGAAGCTGAGCCTCATATGTCAAGCTGTTTGTCTGAGGCCCCATGGCTAATACACCAGAACTCAGGATTTGAGGTGAGAGGGCAGACTCCAGTCTCAAGGTCTCAGCTAACCCTTGGTCAGAATTCTTGGAGGAGAATGTATGGGCAGATTGGTCGGCAAAGGATAACCAAGTGTATTTAAGAACTTATATAAAAGATTGTTGATGTTTGGAAAAGAAAGTTTTAATAGTGTTAAAAGTTTGATATACATCCCTAATAAAACTAGGTCAATGAGATGAAAAGGCAGTACATAAAAATGGAAATACTAATAAGAGAAAAAAAAGTCTTTTAACCTGGTAGTAAAACAAATACAAATTGGGATTGTGAGGGGAGAATGAGAAGAAAGTGACCTGAAAGCATAAAGGAGCCATGGGGGACACATGGAATCTGTACCCTGTTTTGGACTGGGAACTGTGGGAAATAAAATCTATAGCTTATAAGCCTTCAATCTTTGATAGTCTGTTAATGAAGCCCAAATGAACTAAGATTTTGTATTACACACAAGGAAGATGAAAAAATGTGCAATATAGAAACATAATCTTAGTGAGCACACAGAAAGAAAATTACAGCTGTGCACTGCTGTCTGCTTATCAGATTGGAGAAGATAAAGTGGCAATAGGAAAGTCGGGGGCGTAATTGACTTAATGTACTCCTAATTTGTTGCTATTGTGTTCCTGGAGTGAACATTTTAATTTTCCACTAACATACGTTAAGCTTCGCTAGGTGTCTGATCAAAAGGAAAAAGCAATAAACATTTTTTTATGATAATTGCCAAGGCAAAGTCAATTGTAGGCGGCCGGGCTTGCTGGGGATTGCGGAGTCCCTGCGTCCGAGTAGCCAGGACCCGAGTGGGCGCGTGGGTCCTCCGCGGGGGGCACACCCTGGGTCGTGGGTTGGGGAAGCAAGTGAGAACCACAACTCCCAGGCGCCCGCGCGCCGCCTCTCCCAGGCCACGTGATCCGCGCGACCTGGGCGCGGTAGCCGCAGCAATCCTACCAAGTCCAGTCTCGAACCGCGAGTGGACTGACGCGACCCCGGCGGCCGCCCAGTGCGCACACCATGGCGGTGAGTTCTGAGTTGCTCAGCGGAGGGGACGGAGGTGGGCGACTATGCGGCCCTCCCCGAGATCCTTGCAGCCTCTGGACCCGGGCTGAAGGGGTGGGAGCTATGTCAGCGACGCTGTCACAAGACGAGTAGGGCTGGGGGACTCCGCAAGCGAAGCTGGCTGTAGCTCCGGGAGTTTGTTTGTCCCTTCCTGCCGGGAGTCAGTCACTACAGTCAGGCCAGCCCCAGCTGGGACCGCTGCAAGTGGGTGCTGAGAGTCAGGACAGCTGTCCGCGGGTCCTTCCCGGGAGCTACCCAGATTTGGGGCATAACAGAAAGATTTCCTCCAAGAGGAGGCCCGGCGGGGTTCAGCGCAGCCCACGCGCGCGTGCACTGAGCACACACCCCCGGCTCAGCCTGTCCTGGGCAGGTTCCTGGTTCTGTTTCTTTAAAACTAGCCTGGTAACTTCCCCATCCTTCTTATCCCCGGAATCTGAAAGTATCGTTTCAACAGACGTCTTTTCCTGGCTAGGTTTCCCCCCTTGGATAGAGAATGACAGCTTGCAAGATTGCTCTTTGAGGAAATCCTATCAGTTTCTTCATCTCATTAAGGTTGTCTCGGGATCTAAGACAGGAAGCCTACACAGGCTGTTTAGTGGAGAGGCACTCCGCCTCCCGCGGATCCTACAATACAGGGAAATAGATGGAAACCCCTTGATAAAGGTCCCCAGGCAGTCAAAGACAGCACGCCCGGCCTTCTGAAGTGTCTGGTTAAAACACGAAGGCACTTTTCTTTAAGTTTAACACCTATTTGAGAAAAAAGAAAACAAGTCCTGTGAATGGCTCTGTCTTTGGCCTCGGTCCCTTCTCTGTGAGGTGCTTCCCTTCATAAAGCACAGATAAACTGCCAGAGACACAGATTTATCGCCAGTGGGAACCACTGGGGCCCTGCCCTTAGATATCTCAACACAGACCTGCCAACTGAAAGTTGCGGTCCCTTCCTAAGTCTGGGTGTGCTGGTTTTGGATCTTTTTTTTTTTTTTTTAATTCGAAATACAGAAAGTGTGAGGAAGGCAGGGGCACCAGGGGTTTTGATCTTGGTTGGGAAGTGGAATTGTTCCCTATGGGCACTGCTAGTTGAAGACACCCCGCAGTCTGGCCTCCCAGCTGCCTCCTGCTCCCCAACTGTCCCAGCCACTTGCCTATCCTCCCACAGGTGGCTTTGTCCCCTGCCCAGGTCACCCTGCCTCGATGCTTCTGTCTGCAGTCTCTGTTTGAATATCTATTGTGTCTCCCATTCCCCTGCTAAACAGTTCTAACGCTGCCAGCCTTCTCTCATTCATCTGCATCCTCGGGGTCTACACAATCCTAGCACAAGAAAAGGAGATATTGTTGAGGAAATTTACTGTCTGTAGGGCTTTCCGTGGGCGGCAAAAGGTGTTGGCTGTTTTTTTGCTCCTGAGATAGTTGGCCTGGACCCAAGGATGATAGAATAAAATGAATTGTGGAAACTCCCAGGGTGACTAAATTAGCTACTGGAGACATTCCATTCATGCCTACTGCTTAACTAGTCAGACTGGGTGAAGGAGTGATGGGCACAACCTCCACCTGGCAGAGATGGTTCCAGAGGCCCCTCCAACGGTCTGATGAAGGCAACCTTAGGATACATGGAATTTTGCTCTATTGTTTGCTTCATCATATTATTCTTTTATGAGCATTTTTTCCAGGTCATCAACTATTCTTTTTGAAATTCTAACAAGATGTCTCAGGATGGTGGTACTGTTTTAGCTTTTTATGTTTGCCAACTACCACTTTCCTATTAGGAAGATAAAGTGCTCATTATTCAACATGACTTTGAAGTGACTACTTATTTTCCTTATTGAAGCCGTTATGTAATTTACCTGGCCAGCTAGTAGGCAGGGAACATGGTTGTTCAGACTATTTTTCCAGCCATACCCCTACAGATGCTTGCCCCAGAAATACCCAGAGTGCTTATCAAACATGCTGCAATTTGAAGAGTAGCTCATGCTTTCTAGTAAGTTCTATGACTCTGAACTCATGAGCCTTTAAACAAAGGCTCTGTTAACAGTAGCCGGCAATAGCAGAGATGTTGGGTTGAGGGAGGAGATAAAGAGTAGGAAGTGAACACAGTGCAAGCCTGTGCAGGCCCTCAGAAGACAAAGGGCTGCAGGGCAGTGCTATTCAGTCAGATGAGTTGACTCTCCTCTGGGTCTTCTGAAAGTCAGACCCCTTTCAGAACCGAAAGGTATGTGTGCCAAGTGGGCAGTCATCCCTGTCCCCAGGTCTGGTCGACAGGGTGCATGTCTGCACAGGGGATGAACACCCATGGGTGAGGCATTCCTCTCCACTCACAAATAGAGGCATACTCGTGTTTGGTTTCCTCTTGTCCTTTATTGTGTTTTAGTGTAGGACTGAAGCTCACAATGGGATCCTGTCTGCACCAAGGTCACTGGATCTGAGAAAGTTAAGCCAAACCAGGGAAAAGGCTTCCTCGGGTTCAGTCCCCATTTTACAGCTGGGGAAACTGAGCTCCAGGAAGGGCTTGCTGTGTGGCTTACTCAGGGTCCTAGCAGCAGCAGGAGGCAGATACAGGATGTCCAGCTTCAGAATCTGTTCTGTCCATTAGGCTTCCCTCCTCTGCCCAAACTGTACACACCAAGTGAGCATCAGAACCCTGTCCTCAGATGAGTCTCGTTAAAATCATCTGGCTCTTCCCCTGGGTTCTGATTGACAGGAATAAGGAGGCCAGGCACCTGCATTTTTAGTAAAGCTCTGGGATCTTAAGGGAGCATGATGTCCTTCACTAATCTACTTGGACAGTGTGGGACTTGTTGACAGTCTCTGCACTCAATGGTTCACCTGTAATTCCCTGTGTATGTGGAACCAGGACTATGCACACCTGTGTTCCACTCCAGCATCCTTCCTCCTAACCTCTTCCCACTTGCTTTGCATCCTGTTTTTAGCTGCAGTGCCTTAAACACTGGCTTTTCTTCCCTGTCCTCACATACCATGGCCTTGTTTGCTCCAGTGTGGTTGCATGGAGGTCTTTTCTCCTAATTTTCTCCTTTCCTAGCTTCTTCCCTTCTTTTCTCCCAGTGTGCCTTGTCTTTGCTAGTTTCACATCTTTTTTTGGAATTGTTTGTTGTTGTTGTGATTGTTTTGTTTGTTTTTCTGTAGCTTTGGAGCCTATCCTGGAACTCGCTCTGTAGACCAGGCTGACTTCCAACTCACAGAGATCCGCCTGCCTCTGCCTCCCGAGTGCTGGGATTAAAGGCCTGAGCCACCACTGCCCAGCTTCATTTTTTGGAATTGTTAAAACTAACATTCAGGGACTCAGTTGGTCAAGTGCTTGTCTAGCACACACAAAGTCACAGATTGGATCCCCAGTGCCACAGAAACTTTGAAGTATGGTAGTGCATTCTTCTGCTCCCAGCACTCATAAGGTGGAATTAAGGGGATAAGAAGTTCAGAGTTATTCTCAAGTTCAGGCCAACCTGGACTACACAACACCCTGACTAAAACAAAAAAAAAATGGACTGGATAAATGGTTCAGCAGTTAAGATCGTGTTCTGTTTTTGCAGAGACTCCAGTTTGGATCCCAGAACCCTTGTCATTCTTGAGTAGCGCACAACTGCCTAACTCTAGCTGCAGGGGGAATCTGGTACCCTCTTCTGGCCTCTATGGGCACTTCATTCACATCCCAAACCCCACACAGAGACACACACCTATACACATAATTAAAAATATTTTTGCCAGATAAGGAGTTGGATGCACTTGGGAGGTAGAGGCTGGTAGATCTGGGATACATAGAAAATAAAAAGCATGCACATGGATTTTTCTCCACAAATTAGTGTTCGTTTACTTCAAATGAGGGTGAAGTATGAAGAAGACATGGGCTCTATTCCTGATGCTGCTACCATCTCACAATGTAACCCTAGGCATGCCTTAACTTATTCTTGGGCTTCCTTAAAAGTTGTGTTAAGAGCACAGACTCTGATTCCAGTCTGCCTGAGCAAAAACCTGCTGCTGGCCAACATGCCAACAAATATGAGAAAAGATTAACAATCTTCCAAGGTAGATTCTGTCCAACAAGAAAAGGAAAGGGAAGCAGGCAGGGGACAGGGTTCTAGGGTGTGCCTTCTGGCAGGAAAGAGATGAATTGTTTTGCCCAATTCCAGCTTCTTCCAGACTTGATTGCAGTCATCTCTCAGAGTATGTCTTAACAGCCTGTGGTTCTCATGGAACTCTTTTGAGAAATATTCCTTTAGTTTTAACAGATTTGGGAAAGATGGCCCATTGACTGTCATCTTGTGACATCTCATCGATTGTCATCTTCATGCTGTCTTCTCCCAACTTCCCTGGGGTGATGCTGAGGCTCTAGAAAGCCTTTGATTGACCCATCTGGTTTGCTCCCAATCTAATATCTTTATTTACTTTTTTTGAGGTGATGACTCACTTTACTCCAGGTTGGTCTGTGTCTTAGCCACTGTTCTACTGCTGTGAAGAGACACCATGACCAGGACAACTCTTATAAAAGAAAGCATTTAATTTGAGGCTTGCTTACAGTTTCAAAGAATTAGTTCATCATCATCATCATCATCATCCTCATCAATCATCATCATCATGGCAGGAAGCATGGCACTGAGCAGTAGCCAAGAGCTACATTCTGATTGGTCAGCAGAGAGAGAAAGAGACTCTGGGCCTGATATGGGCTTTTGAAACCTCAAAGCCCATCCCCAGTGACACACTTCCTCCAACAAGGCCACACCTCCTAAAACAAGTCCCTGCCTCCCAATCCTTCTCAAGTAGTCTACTGACTAAACATTCAAATATCTGAGCCTTTGTGAGCCATTCTTTTCTTTCTTTCTTCTTCTTCTTTTTTTTTTTTTTTTTTTTTTTTTGGTTTTTTGAGACAGGGTTTCTCTGTGGCTTTGGAGGCTGTCCTAGAACTAGCTCTTGTAGACCAGGCAGGCCTCGAACACACAGAGATCCACCTGCTCTGCCTCCCGAGTGCTGGGGTTAAAGGCGTGCACCACCAACGCCCGGCTAAGAGCCATTCTTAATTAAGCCTCCATATTCTGAAATTTATTATCTAACCAAATGGCCTGGAATTCACAACAGTGTGCCTGCTTCAGCCTTCCAGCTGCTGGGGTTATAACTGTGAACTACCATGGCCACTTTCATTCTACTGTTCTTTGTTATCTCCTCTGATGCTCAATTTTGAGAAGTGGGGAGAAGGAAGGGGTAGATGTGTATGATCTGTGATTTAGGACTGTTACCTACAAACAAGTTTGTGGCTCTGGCATTCACGTGGTCAGAGAATGCCCAATGGCGTAACTTCCAGACAAAGTGACAGCTAACCTAATTTTCCTGTCCCTTAACTTACCCACTGAAGCATGTCTCAGTCCAAACTCCCACAGCCTTTCTGAGAACCCACCATCTCTCTCCAGGTCCTCTTTCTTCCCTGGAACACTCATTGAGAGCTACCAGACTTCTCACAAAGCCCACCCAAGGCAAATCCCTTTCTGTCCTAGGGCTCCCCTTACCCATTCACAGATGAGATGGGGTTGAAGGGGCTGGGGTTGGAATGAATCAGTGTGTTTCTTTTTTATTCTTTTAATGGTACTAGGGGGTTGAACCTGGGGCCTCACATATTTGAGGCAAGTGCTCCACCCTTACCCTTACCTTCTCAGTGCTGGCCACAGACTGGGGCCAACAAAGAGTCTAGTGAATGAGTGGATGTGTGTAGTATGCAGACGGGAGACATCTGTCCTTAGCCTTGCATGACAAACTCTGTTGCAGCAGTCCAGGTTCACCAGGAAAGAGGACTCCCTGCTGGCTCTGGGGATTGTGTTCCAGAACTGAGCAAAAAGGCTGAGCCAGTGTGTAAGGCTTGGCCTAGGGCTTCCTACTGAGTTTGGAGTACACAGAAAGGACATCTCCATGTGATCCAAGGATACTGTGTTATCCCAAATCTGGTACTCCCCATCTTCACTTCCACGTGGAGCAGAGCTCAGTTATCAGTGCTATTGACCCACTTGGGCAAGTCCCTCCTCTTCCATATGGCTTTTAATAGCCCTTCTAGCATGTAAGTCGTGTAACCCCAGGAGTTCTCCCAAGGCAGCTGCTGGAGAGCATTAGGAAGCAGGACCTCTGTGCCTACGCCTCCTGTGATGCTGATCTCATCTCTTTCAGATGCATTTCATCTTCTCAGATAAGGCTGTGCTTCTGTTTGATTTCTGGAGAGTCCACAGTCCTACAGGTAAGAATTGGGAATGTCACTTGTAGTTTGGCAAGCCCCATAGTGCTAGGCAGTGGAAAACTTGGGTTCTCTTTTATTTTCTGTGGGCAGTTAAGGCACATTAGCTAGAATTGTGCATTTATCATTCTAAAGCAGGCTAAAAATAGGTCAGATAACTGTCATGGCAGATGTGCACCTCCCTACAACAGATGACCACTGCCCAGCTACCCACTGCAGACTAAGCAGTGGAGTAGAACACCATTTTGTTAGTATCTTACCAAGATTCTGTGGGTTGACTATGCTAAGTGGTCTGTACTCAGGGCCTCCCATGCAATGGAGGCACACAGTGGCTGGACAGTCTTTCTGAAGAGTGTTTAGTGTCTTGTACTGGTTGTGAACTGCAGCCTCAGCTGGGCCTCTTGTCTGAGCCAGTGGCTCCTCCTGTAGTTTGGGTTTCCTCATGGCAGAATGGCTAGGATTTAAGAGCTAGTATCCTAAAAGAACATGGGAGAAATGCATGAGGGTTTGAAAACCTGCCCTAGGAGCTGGTGAGAAGGCTCAGTTGCTAAAGTCCTTGCTGAGATAGCATGAAGAACTTAATTTGATTCCAGCACCCAGACAGGCATGATAGCATGCTCCTGTAATCCCTGCATTGAAGAACAGAGACCGGAGGATTCCTGGGGCTTGCTAGCTAGTCAGCCTATCTTTAGCTTCAGCAAGAGACTCAGTCTCAAAAAGAATAATGTAGAGAGCAATAGAAGGACTCTACACTCATGTGCACCCACACACACATGCATGAACCTGCACACATATATACACACATTCACATACACATACAAAAACAAAACTTACACTTGGAAGTTACATAGCATTATCTTCACCTATTGTTAGATCCTTTGACCCTTCCAGGCTAAAAGGGAGTGAACATGGCTCTCATCTCCTGTTGGAAGGAGTGTGGGTCAGATATATGGGAGTGAACATCTTTAAAAGGTACACTGTATCACAGATACTAGAGGGTAACCTGAAAAACTAAGGTAGATGTGTTTGAACTGAAGGGAGTTGGATGATGAAATTGGATGCACTTAAGAATGCAGACAGAATGTTGTCATTTAGACAGTGAAGGCTGGTACAGACATGGAGCAGCAGAGGCTGCTGCGGAGAGGGGGCTGGATTCTGGGAGTCTGGGAAGACTTGCTGTTTAATGTATACTCTTCTCTCTGACTAAACTTTTACCATAGGCATATAATTGCCTGTGGTTGCCTATTTAAAACAAAAACAAAAACAAAACAAAAAAAAAACTATGGCTTTTGCCTTTGTGAAGGCAAAACCAGCCTTATGGTTTTTCCTTTTTTTGCACTCAAACACTCCCATAGTCAGATGTGTAGTTCTTCTATACCAACCATTTTTTGGGCAGCAGCTAAGTATCTAGCAGTTTGGTTTAATTCTGACACTAGAGTTGGTGCACACCCCACAGATCAAGAGCACCTTCCCTCTCGGACTGTCTCCCATGCTGATGTCTGTACTTCTGACCAATGAGCTGTAAAATCAAGGCTATGACCCCTCCCCACTCCCTACCTCTGCCCAAGCAGCATCAATCATTTGCTGGAACAACTCACACAACTTGACATAGGTATAATTAAACTACTAGCCACTGATGATCAACTCAGCCCGCAGCCTCTGTCTGTTCCCCGGAGCTTAGGGGTGAGGTTGGGTGTTCCAATCTTCTTATCAAATGTTGGTTCCTCTCCAGCCACAAGTCATTGGCACATATAAGCCCCTACTAGCAGGTATTTATTGGATACAGGGTTTCTTAGTATATAGCCAAAGCTGGCTGTAAACTCACAATCCACCTACCCCAGCTTCATCAGGGCTGAGATCATAGGTATACACTACCATTCCCAGTTCCAAATATATTCTTATGTCAGAAAGCTCATAAAATACTTTGAATAGATCATTTATTATCTGCTGTAAAACATCAGAGTTCATTTTGCCCAGAAACACTAGTAAGTACTTACTATTCTCTTTAACATAATGGATTTTTCTCTATAAATACAATACACAAAATACTCCCAGGGTTTTTGGTATACCTACATATGAAAAATGTATGCTTCCAGGAATATACCACTGCATTTGCAAGAAATCTTAATAGAGATGTATGCAGAACATGGGGGGAGGCTGATGGGGATGGTGCTGCGTGGCTTCTTCACCCTCAACCCCTGGCTCTGCCAGAATGAGAAGCCACACTCCAGTATGTCAGAACTACTAAGAAATATCTAGAGAGGCTAAGAGATGATGAAGGTCTAAGCTTAGTGATGGTGAGAAGAGACCGGTGGCTGGAGTGGATTCAGAGTGAGTGGAGAGTAGGCTGTCTTGCCTCCTGGGACAGCCCCCTGGGGGTGTCTGGGGAGGAGCAGTGCTTTTCAGGGAGCTCTACAACTTGGCTTGTTTGTTCTGGGGCACTGGGGATCAAACCTTGGGCCTCACTTGTGCTGGGCAAGCCTTCTGTCTCTGGGCCTTTTTACTTTTTGAGATATGGTCTCACTGAGTTGTTTAGGTTGGCCTGGAATCCACTCTAGTCCAGGCCAGCACCGAGCTGTGATCCATCTCCCTCAGCCATCAGAGTACCTGCAGGTACATACAGGCCTGTGTCCAACATCCTTCTTGCTTTCTTATTTATATGCCTGTATATTTATGTGTGGAGCTGGATGTGCATATGTGTGCATGGCAGAGGACAACCTTGGCTGTCATTCATCAGATGACATCCTCCTTGTTTTTGAGACAGGGTTTCTCGCTGGCTTGGAACCTGCCTAGTAAGCTAGACTGGGCTGGCCAGCAAGCCCAGGAATCTGGCTGTGTTTGCTCTCCCAGTGCTGGGAGTACAGCAGAGGTGGCAGCTGATGCTGCTTCCGCCGCCACCGCTGCTGCCATCACCTCCTCCTCCTCTTCCTTCTCCCCCCTCCTCCCATAAATCTATCTGCCTTTGCCTTTTAATGCACATCACCACACCTGACCACCTTCTTTATTTTTAATTGGCAAAACTGTCCATCTTATGTGGCGCTTTGAGATGTTTCAGTACACGTATAGGTTGTATAGCATTCAAGTCAGGGCCAGTCTACCTGTCTCTTCAAACTTTTATCATTTTTCTTGATGACAACATGTAAACCCTCTCCTAGCTTTTTTGTAACGTGACATGCTATCATCTGCCATCACCGTAGAGTACAGGACATGGCACACCAAAACCTAATTTTCAACTTGACCTCTTCACAGGTATGGCCCTCTCAGTGCTAGTAGTCTTGCTCCTGGCTGTATTATATGAAGGCATCAAGGTTGGCAAAGTCAAGTTGCTCCACAAGACTGTGGAGAACCTGCCTAATACCACCAGCCAGCAGCTCATCCTGGAATCAGACCAGGATTCTACAGGCTCCGTATCAACTGCAGCCAATGGTACCCGCCTCAGGTAAAACCATGGGAGGAAGGATGGCCAGAGCATTCACTCTTACCCTGACAGGTGGTTGGGCCCACAGAACTTTAGCCCCAAGAACAGAAAGATAATTTAGGTCCCAGGAAGTATTTAGTAAGATGAATTAGAGCCTGGGTCTATGGTGTCTGGGTCAAAGCTACCTATCAAGCAGCCTCTTGGGCAGATCCCAAGGACTTCTCAGGGAACTTCAAACCTGTGCTGCAGGCCTGCCAAGCAGCAGGCATGGGTAACTGGCCTTTCTCACCAGGCTCCCAAACACAGGAGATTTACAGATGTACCAAAGCAAGAACTACCATCAACCTAGTATACCACTTGGTGGGAGAGGGAGGCATCCTTTCTGTGCTCCAGTCTCACTCTGATCAGGCTTTACAGGCCTCAGTCTGTCTTCTCTGAAACCTCACCTATGCTTAATAAGCCTACCTGTTATGTCACCGGCCACCTTACCTGGGCATGTCACACCCTCATAACCACCCAGAGATAAGAAAATCAGCACTCAAAAAGGTTCAGAGTTAATAGACACCTAAGTCCCTGTTCTTTTCATGGCTTCTCCACCTCCCACATTCAATTCAGGGGAGAGACTGGCTTCCTGATGATTTCTTCTTATCCCTATCAGACAAAATTGACTACCCCCATTTGCCTAGGATTGCAGGAAGCTCAGAGCTAAATGTGGTAGGAATGTCTTTTTGGAGAGAAATCTCTGCTAGGTAAAATATTTTATGCTGGAACTCAGAGACTTTCTGTCCTTAGTAAAAACACATCTGCTCATCACTGTTTAACTAACTTGTTTCTCTTTTATGCCTAGGTGGTTTTTGTATTACTTTGGCCAGTCCCTAGTCCATGTCATGCAGGTGGTCATTGGCTACTTCGTGATGTTGGCTGTAATGTCCTACAACACCTGGATTTTCCTCGGTGTGGTCTTGGGCTCGGCTGTGGGCTACTACCTAGCCTACCCACTTCTCAACATGACTTAGTGGGCCAGAAATGTGTAGGTGCTTAGGGCTGGAGAGAGCTGGGGCCTCTGCTCCAGGTTATACTTCAGCTGCTTCCAGTTTCGTATGATGGCCATTGCTCACCTCTTTCCCAGTTCCTGGCAGCTTTGAGCTGAAGCCAGCAAATTGTCCCTGGAGCTTAGAGGACACTGGAGCTACCTCCCTTCCCAGCCTGGCCTACATAGGGCCCAGGCCTCCTGTGGTGCCTTAAGCAAGTGGCTGTGACCAAAGGGAACATGGAGAGACTGAAACCTGAAGTGAGGGTAGCCAGGCCTGTGACGATACACCTCAGACTGCAAATTAAAAATGTCCAAAGAGCTTCAGTGAGGAAGGTCATGGAACCTGGATACCCTCTTCTGCTTTGTGCCTTAATGCCACGAGCATCTCCAGTCTTGGGAGACGGACCATGCCACCTCCTTCTCACCTTTTTGCCTTAGAACACATAAAGACGGCCATTGACAAAACAAGTTTTTCACCTTGAACTCCTGGTTGTCAATTTTGCACATTTATACAAAAAAAGTTTCTAATGAGCTCACTGTGTTCATGACGATGGCAGTGTCTGCTGAGAACAGTCTCCCTTATTTAGGTAAGACTGATGCTGACTAAAGGCAGAGAGCCAGGCTTGTTAGCAAGGCTGCAGACATGTCTGCTATGTTCATCACAGAGAACAGCATTTCGTAACAGAGCTGGCTGCCCCTTATTTCTTACTTGCTGCTAACTCCTAATGACCTGATAGGGAGCCATGAGTCAGTCACTGAAGTACTGATTCAGCAGGGGTGTGTTGGGAGGGAGGTGACTGAGGGTGCAATAAGCAGTCAGACCAAAGCCAGGTCATGTTAACAGTTAACTGGACTCCTGGTATTTGAGCCTTTTTGTTTTACAGATAAAAGTTATTAGACAGGAATGGGGACACATACCTGTAATCCCCAGTACCCAGGAGACTGAGCCTGGAGATTGGGTTTGAGGGCAGCCTGGGCTACATATGGAGTTCCAGGCTAGCCTGGGATGCCCAGTGAAACACACACACACACACACACACACACACACACACACACACACACACACACACACACAGCAGTCACTGCTACATACTATATAGTGTCTATGTTCAAGTACCTCCTGAACTCAATGAAAAGATGGTTTTAAGCTTTGGGAATTAAAAACAAATACACTTTAATAAATTTCTATTTTTGAACAGTCTGTGGTTGTTGGTCTATTTCTCTCCTCTTTCCAACAGTACACAACTCTTACATGTTACCACTGCTGGAGCTGGGGGGACACACGAGACCAAGGACTAAGATTGCATGTGTTGAAGACCACTCTGTGTGCAGAGAAACTCCAAATGGAAATGTGCCTGTTGGTAGACACTACAGTGTCAACTTAGTATGGTAGGTTCGTGTAACAAATATCTGCTGTAAGAAGAATAACTGTCAGGGCTGGAGAGATAGCTCAGTGTAGGGAGACACCCTAGCCCCGCCCAATAGTCCTGGGACAGGTACCAGGTGGACCCGGGACTCGCCCATAAGGGCGTGGTGAAGGAAAGCCGGGGTTACATAAGAGAGCTTCTTAAGGGGCTGCACGTGGGGACCCTGGCCCCTTTTGTTCTGGCCGCGCTGGCTGGGTTCTATAACCTAGCTCTGGCCTGTGTTTTACCTTGGTGTCTTCTGGAATAAAGAGACCTTAATCATACAGCTCAGAGGTTAAGAGCACTGACTGCTCTTCCAGAGGTCCGAAGTTCAATTCCCAGCAACCTGTAGAGGGCCTCACTATCCCTGGGGAGGAGTTTGGGGATGGGTTGGGGGGGTTGGTGGAGAACATGGGAGGATGGGAGGGTAAGGGAATGGGGGGGGGAAATGGATATATAAATATGAGTAGTAATTAAAGAATTTAAATAAAAATAAATTTTAAAAAAGTAACTGTCACATAGACTATAAACACCCATGTTGGCAGGACAGTTAGCACCTTCCTTCCTGGGGACAGAAACAACACCATAGCCATCTTGCCATTTGAAGTTAAGAAGCAAGAGTCACATTCCCTCTGTTCACAGTGCAGTCTGCAGTCTCGATGGAGTTGTGACACTTATGCCAAGTCCTGACCAGTTTCAGCTCCCAGGGCACTGTTGGGACAGACACACGAGTGACTGGCAGGTTCCTCAACTTGATACTGTTTTATTATAGTCATAATATTATAGTCATATTTGAGGCTTTTGAGGAGTAGTAGTCTTTAGAAAATTTTTTGCCTGTGGTCTATATGGTTAGACTTTGGTAACATATATCCTTATTTTAGCATTCTTCAGGGCCAAGCCACAAAAGGTGGTATTTTTCCTCCTTAATTTTCTTAAAAAACAAATACCTGCATAAGTGCTGACTAAGTGCTGGACAGTTCTAGCCCTTTATGCAATTATTAACTCATTCAATCCTCACTACCATACAGGAACCCTGCCTTCATCTCAGAGATGAGGAAGCTGAGGTAGGAGATAGTCACCTATTGATGAGCAGCAGAGCTGAGGAGTCACTGTTTCCTCATCAGCTCAGATGAGAGGCACAGGTCACATAGTGCCTGTGGTATACATAAGTGAACAGAGACTGGAGATGATGAGTCTGTGTTCTTTGTTTCCACAATGGCTGGAAATTCTCAGATTTGGATGGGGCCAGGAGCCTGAATTTTTCTTTTTTCTTTAGTACTAGAGTCAAATCTAGGGCTTGTATATGCTATACCACTGAGATACACAGCTTTGGGACCTGTATTCCTAGCAAGTAGCATTAGCTCCTTTCCTCTACACAAGGACAGTGGACAAGAGCCCAGCTCTTGATCAGCTGGACAGGACCTGCATGCTAGGTATGAAACTGTGGACAACTTGCTCTGCTCCTCTAAGCCTGGGGATAACAGGACCAATGGTTCAGCAGTTACCAACACTGCTCTTGTAGAGGACCTGGGTTTGGCTCTCAGCACCATAAATAGCTCATAACTACCTTGAATGCCCAGTTCCAGAGGCTCTGCCTCTTTTCTTCTGGCCTCTGCATACACATGGTACACAGACACACACGCAGGCCAAACATCCATACACACCAAATAAGAACGAATCTTTTTAACAATGGGGATATCCATGTCTTCTTCAGTGACTGGCACTGTACAGACTGTCTCATTGCTATCAGCCACCACAGAAGACCCACATTTACAGAGAAAACAGGCTTAGAGGTTGAAGTAACTTGTTTAAGTAACTGTTTAATACAGTCTTTCTCAATGCTTCCTAGATGCAAATGTGGGAGACAGGCACAAAGCCTGTAAGGGTAATGGCCAGATGCAGTGGAATTCAGGATACAGTCTCGAAAACATTTAAAATCATGTAACTTTAAAAAAAAAATTATTCCTTTTGAAGAATGCTGGTCTTTAGAAGATCCTTGAATAAGTAAAAGGCCACATGTATTTCCTCACTGCTCTTCGCTGTAGTAGTGTTGGCCCCTGGGGCTCATAGGCAATGGAAGAACCCCCCAGATATCATGAACAGTGGATACTCAGACTCCTGCTTCCCTTCCCTGCATGGCTCCTTGGCCTGCAGTGTAGACCACAGAAATTAGTACATGGTGGGACTGGCTCTCCAATAACTGTGATGCCCAGAGCCTTATGCGGCTATGGTAAGCTGCAACTGCAGTGTGCGACTCTTTGAAAGCCTTTAAGTTCAAGGTCAGGTGCCAACAGAAATATATCACAGTGCTTTTGTGCACATAACTGACCAAGTTACAACTCCCATCCTTAGGATCCCAAGAAAGAACATGACAGCCCTGGAAACCAAACTCAGTTTCTCTTCAAGGGCCCAAGTCAAGTTTTATTGTAGGCATTTATTTTAGTCTTGTTAATTCCAAATACTTATTGACCTCTTTTATAAAATTTAAGGCAGAGATAGAAGATACATGTCTCAGAGCCACAGGCTAGGCCAGCATGATCTCTCAGTCTCCATGGAGACCTCTCCCCAGGCTACAGAGTCTATTACTGCAGCTCTGGTGAGCCCTGGGAGAGCAGGAGGGCTCACAGGTCAACTTGAGAATGAATAAAAAGACTTGGGAGAAATGGCAGGATGCTTGTGACTGGCTGCAGGTGACCCTCCCAGCCCTTCCCCCATGGTAGGGGTCACTCACTGAGGGCTCTTATACCACCAGTTCTTCAGACAGACTCATGATCCTCTTCACCAGGTCAGTCAGGGCTCAGATGGCAGCTAACTCAGACGTCTGAACCACTGTCCTCAGAATGTCCACCAGGACCTCACCCTGAGGCTCACCTAGACCTGAAGCCGGTTGTGCAAAATCATGCTTAGGGAAGGGCTGGGAGAGAAACCTGCATGCCTGTTTCCTAGGTCTTCACCCCAGCCAATCAATGTCATCGTCATCATCATCATCTCCAAAAAGGGGTGTTGGGGGCGGGCGTCCCTTCATGCTCTGACAAAACAGGAAAGAGAGGTCAGTCCTCACATATCCTTGCCCAGGTGACTTCCTGCTTGTGAGGGGAAGTGGTCCAATGGCTGTCCTGCCTCTGGCTGAAAAGGAGATGAAATGGAGGGACAGGCTTTGTGGCCAGAAAACTGATCCAGATGAAGCTGGGACAAGCAGGCATGGAGGGAAGCCATCTTTCAACAGAGACAAAAGACCAATTGCTTGACTGATTTTGTAATTTATTTGTGAAGCAAGTATTGATTGGGCAGATATGCCAACTTACATATTTTGTGTGGAAAAAGTAGGTTCATTAAGGAGACACTGGAAAGGAGAAACAAATAGAAGCAAAGCATCCTTGGGACAGGAGAATAAGAAGATGACGGAAGTTCAGAAAAGTATAATCACATTCGAAAGCCAGCTGTGGCCTGAGGTGGCCGACAGACTCAGAAAGATGTGGATGTAGAGGCATGTCCACACTCTAACGTGGAGAATCCCAAGACATTAAAGAAAGCCCACAAAGCAGGGCCCATGCTCTCTTTAATTGGAGTGTGGAATAAAGGGGCTAAAGGGTTCTAGGGCCCCTAAGAGTCCCAACCAAAGGACACTGTGTTACAGGTTCAAGTCCTCGGCTTGACCCTGTCAGAGGTGGTAGAAACCTTTTTTGATGGGACCAGTAAGAGGTCTCAGGGGACTAGAGGTCACCCTCAAAGGGGACAGTAGAATTCTGGCCCCTCTTTCATCTCTCTTTCCCTTCCTGACCATTAAGAAAATACTTATTTTCTACACACATTTATGCCATAGACCTAAAAGCAATGGAGTGAACCCATCATGGTCTAAAACCTCTGAAATATTAAGCCAAAATATACAGTCTCTCTTTATACACTTCCTATATCCGGCATTTTGTGCTAGTAACAAGGCTAGCTAACACAAGGAGGCACGTAGGAGGTTCTCCTACTCTTCTCATGATTTAAATTCTTGCCTTTCATTGGCTTGGTAGGGTGGCAGCAGGGCTTGAGGAGACTACAGACTATAGTTATAATGCATAACTATAGGACATATTAGTAGAAGGTTAAACAAGAATGTGAAGTATTTTTCTGAATACCCAAGAAACAGATTATTAACTTAACTTTTTTTTTTTTTTTTTTTGGTTTTTCGAGATAGGGTTTCTCTGTGGCTTTGGAGGCTATCCTGGAACTAGTTCTTGTAGACCAGGCTGGGCTCGAACTCACAGAGATCCACCTGCCTCTGCCTCTGCCTCCCGAGTGCTGGGATTAAAGGCGTGTGCCACCAAAGCCCGGCTTTTTTCATCTTATTTTCTCCTTCATTTTCTATGCAGAATTTGTAGTTAGTATTCTCAAATGCAAACTGAATTCTCAGAAAGGTAGGCTAACGGGAAGAATGTACACTTTCTCTAAAAGCAGGCAGGCAAGAGGGAAGGGATCTGGTTTACCTGAGCTGGATTCCAGATGTCACTGCCTTCTGGCCAAAAGCAAAACTCACTGCAGATGGACAGTAGAAAAGGGCGATAGGCTTTCCCCATCCATGTTCAACCTCATAGTTCTTCCCTGGACTGACCCTAACACTCCTGTCTCCTCCACGCATACTTCATGACAGTGCAATTCCCATCAGAGTCAAAATGGTCAAATGTCAGATCACAAGCCAGGGCTCTATACTCAGCTCTGTCAGAGCTTCCTTTGTGGTCCCCAACTCTCCTGTCCCCTAACTTGAAGCTACACTGTCAACACTGAACCCATCTGCTGCTCAGGGTGTTAA